TTCATTCCGTTGTTCCTTCAATTATGGGATTATTGAATAACATCTATGTGCCAAAGAATGTTCTAGAAATTGAGAATATAGTTAAAAGTCTTTGTCTGAACCAGGTGGAAATCCATACTATATTCTCATTGTTCTTTAGGCTTGTGTGTGTCTTATGTCTTGGTTAAACAGATTTGAGAGACAAGATTGCCTCCCATAGGGAGTTGAGTTCACACAGGTTGGGACTTTCTCATCGCTTCTAGAGTTGCTCAGCCCAAAGGTAATTTTAAGGGATCAGATGGGAGAGTGAAGGGAACTAAGGATGATTAAGATGTAATCTGTATATATAACAGTTCCCCAAGGTGAATAGAATTATTATGTATCACAAACATATATCAATAAAAAAGAACGTACAAAAATCCCCCAAACAAACAGGATCGAGATCCTTGTTGACTATAAATTTAACAGTGTGTTTGCAGACTAAACCCTTGCTGAAACTGCAGAGAGAGAACCAGTGACATCTGATAATATATTTAGAGTATCACCCATTTTCTATGAGAGCAATGAAAATTTCATGTAACTATCTTTGGGGGACAAACATAAGATTATTGAGAAAGTAAACTTGATTTCATTTTTAAATCTTCTCACCAAGAATTATAATTTTCACACTAGGAGTCTTAGATTTTGGTTTAGAGAAATGTTCAGAATCACAGTGTAATGTATGTGAATAATTTTCAGTATTGTGTTAGCACAGACTGATATTTACTTTTCCTAGCAATTAAATTCTGACAGCAGTTTCCAGTGTGAAAATTTATATGGCCAACTACAACAAAAGGAGCCAAAGGAAGTCTCAACAGTTTGAAGGTACGGGCAGCCATTTTGAAGAAAGTAAGAGGCAATATGGTAGCCGTTATTGATTTCCTATTGTCTGATTCAGAAGACCTGTAAGGCTCTCATTCTTTTGGTTTGATTGCTTTTAGACTATTTTGTTTTGCATTAACTTGTTTTGTGTGAAGGTGTGGACAACTATTTTGAAGAAAATGAGACATTATGGTAGCCACTGTTGATTTCCTGTTGTCATCTTGAAATCTTGTGTTATTTGTGTTGTTTACTCTGATATGTTTTATTTTGTTTTGTTTTATTTTAAAACAAACACAAACAAACAAACAAAACCCCAGTGCATTTGCTTTTGTTGAAGGCAATATTTTTATGATCTCATTAAAGGCCAAGTTTATAAAAAAAAATTAGAACTGTGAATGCCTACACTCTAGGAGGCTAAGGCAGGAGGATTGCAAGTTTGAGCTCAGCTTTGGCAACTTAATGATTTAAGGATACTCTATCTCAAAAAATGTATTTTTTTTAAAGGGCTAGCAATGTAGCTCAGTGTAAAGACCTGGATTTAATCCTCAGTGCTGAAAAGAAACAAACAAACTTGATGTGTTGTTTTGCTGGGGAAAAAAAAAAGGTGGAAAATTAGTTTTCCCTTCCCTCTCCCATTGTGAGCAACCCTAAGAAAAAACAAATTAGGTGGTGTTCAAGGCAACAAAGATGGGAGCCACTGATGAGAGCACCATGATCTGGCCCAGTGCAAATATTGTTATATATTTGGGATTTTCCTAGGGGTCAGGGGAAGGGAGTAGAAATTCTTGGCCTGGTGACATATCTACTTAATTAACCAATGGCATCAGACAAAGCAGCCACTGGCCACTGCACTGCCCCTGAGTTCACTGCCCCTGACTCCCTAAGTCTCCTGAGTGGAGTGGGGGTAGGCACAGCAGTGCTCTCTTCTGAAGCAGCCCACTTTCCTCAGTGTACTTTCTGACTTCTGTCCCCATTTTTACTGCAAAATAAAGTACAGTTTCTGTTTCTGCCCTTCAGGAAAGGCCTACGTCCTGCAGGACTGTCTCCTGAGCTCCTGCAGCAGCAAACACTTAGGTTTAGGAAATAAAATGAATTGTAAATGAGAGTGACACCTGCCAGAGTGATTTTGTGTGCAGGTTAATGCCTGATCGACTTCTGTTACCATTAAATGTTAGATAAAGTAGAGTTTTTGAAGGGGCAGTAAATGATAGTGATAGTAGGGAAAATTCAGTGAGAGCATGTACAATGTAATTCAAAGATTTATAAATACGAGACTTAATCCAGAAATAGAGGTTGTATACCTCCCTCACCCAACCTTAGTTCTCTAATAGAATTTGTGGAAAACCTAAATGAGGCTTGGTGTATTCCCTAAAACTCTCTCTTAGACATTTAATCTACACTGCTAATATTAGCGGAGCCAGTGTTCAGTATCTGGTTTTGTATGAGACCTTCAAGTGCATTTCATTTCAGTTTTGCAACCTAATAATACTTGTGGGATAGATACAATTAACACCATTTCCCAATGAGGGAAATCAAGTTTGGAGCATCACATAACTTGTTAAGGTCACAAAAGTGATAAATGACTGCATCAGGACTGCTGCTTTCCTTAAAGATTCTTCTGGTCTCCCTAAAAGGAGCTCACAATTGTTCAATGCGTCAAGATATCTTTAGGTGTTGTGGCTGAACGTATACAGTTATATAAGCATCCTTGAAGCCAGGTAATGGTTGATGTTGGTGAGAATAATTCTTTTTTTTTTTTTTTTTTTTTTTTTTTGGTGAGAATAATTCTAATGCTGGAGTTGAAGAAAGAAGGCAGCTGTATAATGAGTATTCATGTTCAAATTCAGAATAGTCAGGATTCAGGCAGAGAGTCCTACACAATCTCCCTTCATCCCTGGGGGCTCGGATTTATAAAGACAAGAGCAGCTACCTTGTATTTTCTGAAAACCTTTATGAGTCTAAGGAGAGCAGGGACCTGACCAGCCAAGTGTCTATGTATTAAATACCTACACTCAGGAGTGCATAAGTGTGGGTCTTGGCTTGGCGGGGCAATGATACTGCTGATTGGAATCCTTTTCTGTCTGGGAATATCTAGCCAACCTCATAGAACTAGTCTCCTTGGCCTAAGTCTATCTCAGCACATAGAGACATCTGTGGTTACTAGCAGATGATACTGAGAGAACCAGCGTAGGAGACCCAACTTTATGTGCTTACTTATTTCACAAATCTAGAAAAACGTGAGGAATAACATGGTCAGAAAACACAGAGTGTGAACTCTGAGAACAACCATTAGACATGAGTAAAAGCTGAAAGTGCTTCAGAGATGACCTAAGATTTAGGCTTTAAAGATTTGATCTATCAAGTCACCTCTTCCTATAGATTCAGTGATTCAAAAATGAGCTAAGTGCTCAAACTAAATAAACTATTTTGCTCTCTTGCCACTAATAATATAGACCATGGCACCAGCATTAACTGGAATCTAATTAGAAATGCAGAATTTCAAGTCTCATGCCAGAATTAATAAATCAAACAAAGTATGCATTTTTAGAAGATCCTCAGATGGTTTGCACCAACAGGGATGTTTGTAAGTTACTGTGTTAGAGCATTCCAGACAGCAACACAGACTATGAAGGATATTGATTAGCAAGCTCAACTCCAGATGCATATGTGAATCATTGGGGCAGTCCACCTCATACCAATTAAATCTAATATTTTGAAGCAGAGGATACAAACTGTGACTTTTGTGAAAAGCTCCATAAACGTGCAGCTAAGGTTGAGAATCCTCTGATTTAGTTGATAGGTGCTCCATATGAGAGTATATTCATTGATTAGAGTTCTGAAGGAATTGACCCCTGACAAGGTAGTTAACATGTTTATTAGTGATGCTGAAGAGTAAGAATTATGTAAGGATTCTGTCAGTGATAGAGCCTGTACAGTACTGCTGGCTAATATTCTGAAACTCACCAAGAACAGAATTTCAAGTGACTGCAGGAAGACTTGAGAAAAATCTGCAAAGATCTCTGTTAAAGGCTTCTCCAAAATTCATTTTGACATCTAATCTGAAAAGTCATGTGTTATAGTTTAGATCTAAAATGACCCCCAAAGACGAGTGTATTTGGAAGGTGATTAGATTATAGGGGTGGTATAGCTAGGTTGAGGTTGAAGGGCAGGGTTTGGTCAGAGGAGACAGATAACTGGAGGTGTTTATTTGCCTCCCCAGCTTCTCTATGTGTCTCTGCTTTCTGGCTGACCTGAGCAATTTCTATTCCCAGGGCCTTCCACCATGCCAACCAGTATATGAGGGTTGAAATTTCTAAAATGCAAGCCAAAATATAGCTCTCCTTTATGGTTTGAGCAGTGAGTATTGTGTCCTGTGATGAGAAAGTAATTAAGACACCATGGTAATGGTAGTTAGAGATAAGGCTTTGGCAAGGTAATTTTAATTAAATGATGTCACAAAAATTACTCCCCTCAATGGCCTTAGTGACTTTATAAGAAGAGGAAGGAGTAAATGAACTACTGCACTTGCTTTTTCTCAGTAATATCCTCTCTCGTGTTGTTATGCAACAAGAAGGCCCTCATCAGATGCTGCAGAGCCATCAGCTCCATGCTCTTAGATGTCTCCCAGTGCCACAATAATGAGCCAATAGACTTCTTTATAAATGCCCTGGTCTCAAGTTTTGTCATAGCAACTGAGAATATGTACAAAGTCCTGATCTTTTTCAGGCAATACTCATCCTATGATGTCAAAAAAGTATTCAGAGGCCAAAATGAATGATGGGTGAAAAATAGTTCAGCAGTGGAAGGCTGTGATTGAAAAATCAGAGCATGTGTAATGTAAAAAAGTGGGAAATCATTAAATAGCCCATTTCTGATACTTGCTACTGGTTAGGAATTTATGTCCTATCTTAATCACTTTCTTATTGCTGGGACAAAGTGTGCACATCTCCATCTTATAGGAGGAGAGGTTTATTTTGGCTTGTGTTTTTTAGAGGATTTACTACATACATAGCCAGCTGGCCCCAAAGCAGAAAGGGTCTGATAGAAGGGCCTGGAAGAGGAAAGCTGCCCACGACATGATGGCCTGGGAGAAATGCAGGGAGGAGCAGGGGGCTGGTGGTGGTCAAGAATATGCTATTCCAGATCAAACTCCCAGTAACCCATTCTTCTAACCAGGCCCCCCTCCTAAGAGCAAATTTAGCTATGAACTCAGGGGATTAATCCATCAGTGATGATAGTGCCCCCATGATCTTTCCAAATGCCCACCTTTGAATACATGTACCTTTTGGAGGTATCTTTATCTAAACCATAACATTCAAAAAAGACTTACATACATCTCTTTATGCAAAATACACTTGGTGCATGTTTATATGTAGCCAAAATTTTAACAGTTCCAGGATTGCTGAAAAGTCCAAGTTCAAAATCTCTTCTAAGGTTTTAGGCACTCTTTAACTGTGAACACCTATAAAATAAAATAAAATAAAATAAAATAAAATAAAATAAAAAGAAGCTAAACACTTCTGATATTTGATAGCACAGAATAAATACCCATTCCAAAAGGGAAGAATAGAGGGGATAGAAAGGAATAGGACCACAGCAAGACTGAAACCCAGCAGGGAAAACACAAAACACTATAGTTCTGGGTCCACCGCCTGGGGCCTGCTATAGTGAGATGTGAGCTCCAAATGGCTTGGGTGGCACTACTCCTACAAACATTACAATTTGTAGCCCTCATTGACTCTCTTGGCTTCTTCAATTTCCTGGAGTTTTCACTGCACTTTTGGCTTTACTCTTGCCCTCTCAGGGACACACCTGCTACCTGGTCTACAAGGCTTTCTTTTGAAATCTGAGTGGAAATCTCCATGACCTTTTAACTCTTGGATTCTACATGCTTGTAACAGCCGCACCACATGGTTAACTAAAGTTTTCTGTCAGTTCAAGTAGTAGTCTTGGATCGTGACCGTAGAGCACTTTATACCTTGAGATTCTTCTCAAAATAATCTGTCTTTTTTTGGGATACATTTTAGGTATACACAGTGATAACATTCATCATGTACATATTAAATCTTTTTTTTCCTCTTTACTTCCTTCTCCTTAAACAAACAAACAAACACCAAAGCTTTTGTAAATAAGGAGGACAAAGAGTTTATATTTACTATTTTACAACTTTAATCCACTAAAGGGTTGGTCCTACTGACTCCTGAGATGCTTCTAATCTATCTTCCTACTGTCTGGATGCGAAGTACTTCGTTACTTTTTAGTACTAACTTTTCAGTAACCATTCTCTCCTTGGCCCCAATATTGGAGGTGCTTCCTGTCTGGAGAAAAGAGAAATTTTTCAAATGGGCTTTTTGGTCCTGCTTTTTTAAAAAAAAAATTTTTTTTCTGTAAAAGTTGCTGGCAGCTCTCATGCCACAGTCTGAATATTGGGCTAACTTGAAATATCCTCTGCCAGATTAATTGGTTCGCCTCCCTCAATTTTCATCTCCCACAAGGATTCATAACATAGGCAATAATGTAGGTAAATTTTGTGCCAGAGAATAACACACATGGCCTCATGTTTACTGGTTCCCTTAGTCCCACTGAAACCTCCTGAATCTGGCCTTTATGATTGGCCTGTCATCATTTTATCTCGTGAGCTCTGACTTAAGTCTGGCTTACAGCACTATAGGGATTTCTATATCCAGCACCTCCAAATCTTTTCCAAACCCTTCTCACAAACAAGTTCCAAAGGTTTCTGAATCACGTAGTCAGTACCAAAATCTTAGTCACTTTCCTCATCACTGAGGCAAGTACAGGCGACCTAACTGAGGAGTGGTTTATTTTGGCTCCCAGGTTTTAGAGGATTCAATACATAGTCAGCTATTCCCAAGGCAAGAAGGGCATGGTAGAAGGATCTGCTGGAGGAAAACTGTTCATGCCATGGTGGCCAGGAAGCAGAGAATGAAGGGAGGAGCTGGGGACAAGAATGTACCCTCCCAGGTACAGCCCCCATAACTCATCTGTTTTGACCAAGCCTCTCCAAACAGCCCACTTAGTTGTGAGTATAGCATCCTCGTGATCCAAGAACCTTCCAAATACCCAACTCTGAACACCTGAGGCTTTTGGGGTACATTGTCCAACTTAACCATAATAGTTACTTTTATTTAGTGTGCTGAAAATGACACAGAACTTAACGTTTTTCGAGTATAAAGAAATTTCTGTGTGTGATTAGCTGATCTGAGATTAAAAAAAAGAGAATAGACTTTACAGAAAAACTTCCTGACATCAAATTTGGGCAGTCTCTGGAAAAGATATAGGGAAAGATATGGGGAAAATAAACCTATATATGTTAATTGCTTTGGGAACCAAGAAGCAAAAGTTGATCTTAAGGAGATATTTGGAATGTAAGCCTTCCTACCATAATGTAAATAAGAGCTTCTGTTCACAGAGGGAGTGAGACATTTCTCTAGATTTATGAAAAACGTCATACATTGACAACCTTGGCACAAACTGAATTTGATAGACATCTGAGCCAACTTTGATTTCTGCATATCTAGTCCAGGCAACATCAACACTGTGAAAACATCTTCATGCTGATGAGGGGCATCTACAAATTACTTTCAGCAAACATCAGAGTTGACAGAAAATCTTAGAAGCAATAATATTATTTTTGATGCTTTAGATTGAACCCAGGGCCTTGCTTAAAAAGTGCTGAGCTATACCCCAAACTACATAGCATTTTAAATTAACTATGTAACATTTTACTCTGAGGGTCACTTGGGCAGTATTTTTTTTACTTGCTATCTTGAGCATTCCTCATGCAGGTGTCATTTCGACTAGTTGATTCTTGTTTGCATGACATACATTTGTATGCATGTTTGTCTTAATATTGACTTTTTTGCACATATTTTTATTTAGATTTGGCTTTGATGTTTGTTTCTAGTAAAATCTAATAATAAGTTCTGGTTATTTTCTTTTACTAACTTGTGTTTATTTGTGAAAAATAAGCTTATCATTTTGTGCTGCGATCTATAAAAACTGTTATTGTAAGTACATTAATTATAATTTTATACTTCTCAGTGATATGTTTTTACAATACAAAATGGACATATTTGGCACATTGAGACTGTATAAGAGTCAAGGGCCAAAGATCTGCAAAAGAAAAACCTGAAGAAGGGAGAAATATTAACATATCAGAGAGGAAAAGGAAATATTAGGGAAGTGTTATGAAATGGAAAGACAAAGACATCTGTATTTTGTCAGCAATTCATAATAAAAAATGACAGGACTTGAAAGAAGAAACAAAACTAAAGATAAATTCCGGTAATGGCCAATGATTCTAATAATTCTATAGGTGCTGTAGACAGAGTTGATCAGCATCTAACAAACTATCCTGTAACCAAAGAGCAAGGAAAAAATATCTTATAAAATATTTGCACCTTCTAAACTTGTTTGTTATTTATTCAAGACAAGGAGTTTAAAAAGTCATTTACAATTTAGATTAGGCCTAATAGACCAAATTATTGAAAAATATAAGATATAGAGACACCAACCAGGTCACCCATCACCGACATATTCACTGTTACATTTAGTGTGTAGACATTTTATTGAAATTCACTCCCTATAGGAAAAAGGAATAGACCAACATGGCAGTGTAGAGTGTTGTTCAAAAAAAAAAAGACAATAATGCAAAAGAATTCAGAGAGTAGATACAACTGTCCATATTATAGCATTGCATTGTATAGTAAATGTTTTAAGACATACCATACACAGAAAAATTATTGAATAAATTTGAGAAAATTATCACTTTTATATTTCCCATTATCTTATAAAAATTAATTAAAATATGTAATTTTTGATCATTCTGTATTTAATTGGACTGGTAGTGGTTAATGAATTTGTAAGGTACAATGTGATGTTTGGTATGTGTATATAATGTGAGATGATCAAAACAAGCTATTTAGTATATCCATCACCTCATATTTTCATTGTTTTGGTGATGAGGCCATTGTGGTGAGTTATTTTGAAATGTGTATAGTACTTTATTGCCTTGATGTGTAGTAGACCTCAAAGACTTATTCTCAATTTTCAGTTTGTACCAGTAGACTAACAATTGCCACTTCTTTTTTTACATTTATAAACTTAAAAAACTGAACAAAAAAGGGATAAAAGTGATACAGTATATATATATATATATATATATATATATATATATATAATCCTTTTTCTTATTTTTTCTGCTTTTCCTTATCTCAGTTGTTCTTTCCTATTGAGTACTTTCTTGCCCTTTAACTTTCTCAGTGTCTGTTATACATTTTGGATCTTATTTATGCTTTCAGTTCTTTTTGTTATGCCCAGGAGACAATACAATATTTACACTTGCAAATTTGATTTATTTCACTTATGCATATGGTCTCAAATTGCATCCATTTACTTACAAAAGCCTCAAGTGTATCCTTTTTATAGCTGAGTAATACTCCACTGTATAAAAATACATCTTTTTTATGGTTTATGGGTATTTGGGTTGTTTCTAAGATTTAGCTATTACAAATTGTGCTGCTATAAACATAGGTGCACATGTATCTCTGCTGCCACATTTTTTATTTCATTGTATACATTGATAGTTTTTAGTTTAGAAACAAAAGATAGAAATGATACACAATTTCAAAAAATAGTAGGAAATTAACACTAGTTAATATATTGCATATCATTAATTTAGAAGTAATTGTTCAAGTTATAAGATGGAGGCATAAAAATGATCAAACAATCAATGAAAGCACAAACTATCTTTTTGATGAACTTATGGAGTGTAGTAGTATAGTTATCTATTATAACTATACCCTTATAATTTAATCTTTTCCCTTCTTCCTTTTATCCTTTCCCCTAATGCAGTTCTTTTATCCTTTTGTGCACTTTCTTTCTTTTATTTTCACAGTATCTATTGTACATTTTGAATCTTATTACTATTTCAGTTTTTTTAAAGTTAGGGAGACAATATAATATTTCCACATGTGAGTTTGATTTATTTTACTTATGAGAATGGTCTCAAGTTGCATCTATTTACCAATAAAAACCTCAGAGTTATCCTTCTTTATAGCTGAGTAGCACTTCATTGCATAAAAATGCCACATCTTTTATATTTATTCCATGGTTGATGGGCATTGGGGTTGTTTCCAAGATTTAGCTATTACAAATTGTGCTGCTATAAACGTGGGTTCACATATATCGTTGTTGCATGACATTTTCAATTCTTCTGGGAAATATCCAGAAGAGGAATAGCTGGATTGAATGGGAACTCCAGTCCTACTTTTTTGAAGAATCTGCACACTGATTTCCACAATGGCTGCACCACTTGACACTCCCACCAACAGTGGAGAAGAGTTCCTTTTACCCCACAGCCCTACCAGTATTTGTTATTAGTTGATGTCTTGATGATAGCCATTCTTTCTGGAGTGAAGTGAAATCTCAGTGTTGTTTCAA